GAGATGACAAACAAGCGCGGACTAAGGTAACCCCCCCCCTCCCACTTTAGCGCGCCTTAAAACATTCTGAGGCGGAGCTGGTGCAAGGGTCCTTTGCGGTCCACACTATAGTCCCCCATACGGCGCTTTCATTCTTTCAGGGAATCGCAGAATGGCATTAATTCATTACCCAACCAATTTTACGCTTCAGTCTGATTTTGAAACTGGTCTGAATGCGATATTTCAGGATGACGATGTACCTCACATCTCAAAGGATGTTATGGAGTCTCTCGCAGCTCCTTCGGGATCAGTGAAACGTATAGATCCGCCTCAAATTTCGAAAGATGTCGTGGAGTCTGTTTCAGCATCTTCGGGATCAGTGAAACGTGTACGCATGCCACCCCGGCACAACGCCCCCATTACGGTGAGAAACATACCATTTCAAAAGGAACATCCTGGAACATTTTTAATTACCTTCCACAAGATATTTGGGAATACTTGATAGCGGATAGAAACCGAATGCCAGGCATTTTCTGAGACTGTTGATCAGTGTCGATTATTTGATTCTATGCTGTAAGTTGTTTTTCAGGCGAAGAAAATGATGGAAACGATCAACGTAACGCCTCCCACTCTGCCGCCCGAAGAAATTCCGAAATTAGGTGTCCCATGGCCAGACAGGCTGTTCATAGTGGAAGGCAGGCAACTGCTTGAACTATTTCGCTTTTGCCCGCTTTGTGGAACAGAATTAGAGGCTAGTGGAAGTTCCTTCAAATGTTCATCCGAAGGTAACAATCCGGTGGTAGATGTACATTGCCAAGTTTGTATGGATAAGAGAGGAAACATTGGCCGGTGGAAAGGATATCTCTGATCTCTGCGATAAAACCAGTAGTTCGGTTTGGCACTGTTTAGTGCACTTTTTTGAACTAGTCTATTCTAGCCCTTGGTAATTTTTTGAAGCCTTAGGAAGAGACGGTGAAGTACGTTTATATTTGCTGTACTTCCACTTTATATGCTCATATGAATGAAGGTTGTTTTGCTATTTATCCACTACTACATTTTTCCCATCTAGACCGAATCTTCTTTGTTAATTTATAATAGCTTTCGTTCTCCGTCCATATCTATGTTTATCCACTTCTGAATGGTGGTTGAAGTTCGGCTTTTATGGGTTGCTTTTTTCTTTGGATTATTTATGACTGCGTTTGAAGAAAGCGTAAATAGTTGAATGAGTTGTAGAAAATTGGCATAATGCTTAAAGTATGCCTTTTGAAACTGAATGAATGATTTTTTGTTTTTTTCGAGCTTTGTTCATAAATCTTTACACTTTACTCTGGTTGGCTTTGTACAGTGTCTTTGGAGTGTTAATCACTCAGAAACCAGAATACTTCGAGAAAATAAGGAGTGTTTTCGATGCTAGCTCTTGGAGCGGGTTTAGCGAGCTCTTGGGGGGGGGAGGCATTGGTACGAGTACGTCGCAGCGTGCAACCGTCTCCGGCTGTCTCGAAAATATCAAGCAATGCTGTAATGACCGGTGTCGTGCGTACATACTGTGTGCGTCGAGCTGGAGCGT